AAAGAAAGGAGTGGGCTCCATAATCCCAATCCTATATGAAAGATTTCATGCCTTCTAACTATGCAACAGTTGCAAGGTTGCACATTGTGTCTGCTGTTTTATTTATTTTTTCTGTGTTTTTTGGGATGATTCTGTTTGACCCGCTTCTGATAATGGACGTTTTGGTTTTGTTTTTGATATTTCTTTAACCACATCTTTTCGATAATTTTCTTGATCGGCCATGTCATCTTTATACGCTTCTTCCTCATCGTCAGTATCACTTTCAGGTTCACTTGGTTTAGTATCTTTTGTCGTCCGGTGTGACCACTTTAATCGTGAAAAAAATGATCGGATTTGTGATGGTTTCATAAATTCTTCAACAGTAAATATGAATTTGCCGTCATTTGTTCAAGTGCGACAGCTTGTGGTTTGCATCTTACACCACGCGTAATACCATCATTGAATTTATTTGTGAGATATTGTTTCTGTTTACCAGTAAATTTTGTATTCGTGGTTTTGGCAATGCCCAACCTTGGTCCAATTTAGGTATATGTTGATATTGACTTTTGTCGAATGTAGACAGTTCCAAAAGAATGGAAACAAACCATTTGACGATCATCAACTTTTTCTAATTTTGACTGATATGTTTTCATGGCTGTATCAGCTAAACTATATTTTTCTATTACACGATGGTGTTTTTCGACCAATAGATGACGAACAAAATTACCGTATTTCAAGAACTTTTGTACACATCCCTCTTCAATACAGTCATATAAAGCCATATGTGGGTCATCAGCGTCTTTGACTGTATCTTCATCCGTTTGTTCTGTTGATTTATCAGATTTTGGATGTGTGGTTGTTCGTGTTGTATGTGACCATTGAATACAAGTGGGTCCTTTAACACAATCAATTAGGCTAATTGTTGGAGCTTGTTGAATTAAATCTTTCCATGGTATTAATTTTCCATCACCTATTTGCCAAGCTCGATGTACTCGCACATCAGATGGCTCAAATTCAAAATTATTCAATGTAGTTATACCTGAGAATTTGTATTTATTCTTTTCATTTGTGACTATAAGGCGAGATTCAATTACTTGCACATCATTTACCCCACCATATGAACAACATGCATGAACAAATTCTTCAGCAGTTGTTATATTATGTTTTGCGTTCAAATATCTTCTGATACGAGATATAATGACCGCAGCAAAACGATCACACGCACCTAAATGAGAAAACAATTAGTGAGAAAACATTAACTCGCATTGTTATAATCAACATGATCAATTCATAACCTTTTCTTTCTTGTGGATCCGAAAAATCTATCCGTTTTATTGTAATACCTGTTGCTTTTGATATCTGTGATAATGATATTAGTGTCTGAGCGCAGTGGTAGCAACCAGCATTGTCCAATCTGATATAGGCTTCTTTTATTTGCGGATCATTTGATTTAGTTCTTTTCAATATATCTTGTATAATTGCTGTAACTGTTTTGCTATCTTGTGTACAATGATCGAACATATGTACAAAAACCGTATTTTCAAATTGGTGCGAAACGTTTGATTTATTATTACTTTGATCATCAAGTTCATTTTCTTCCTCTTTGTTTTCTTCGATATTTTGTTTTCTTGTAACAACACCAATACGCCAGCTTTACCAAAAAAGTCAGATTGTCATTCACGATATTTGGCCGGTAACCATCTAGAAATGCATAAGTGAACAGTATTAAACATGGGGATACAATCAACAAATAATGTTGTCTACTCACTTCATCCCCCAATCCAAATTGACAAAAATATTTGTATTTGATAAACCTTGAATAACTTGTTGGCGACAAAGATCTTGATTAATAGAACGTAATTGATGGGATTTCCATGCATTAATCAATTCACAACATAATTTATGTTTGTACATCATCTTTACTATTGTTATCAAGGATAACTTTTTCAATTTCTTTTAACGTGCTCGATAAATTTACGCATTCAGTACATACGTCATCATGTTGATGCTCACATATCTGTTGATAGTGCTTATTTGTTTTACCACTCGTTGCATATGTTATACAATGATCAGCTATGGTAGATGATTTTGCAACATGTACTTTGAAATCTTATTTTATATATTGTTTGCCACACTTCAAATTATCAATTAAATGTTTTTCTTCATCGCGATCAATATGCATATCTTGAATAATTTTTATCAAACAGCCAAACGATTCGCTCCCATCCGCTGCGAAGTAGTTTAGGCCCTAGAGTAATTTACGCGTTGATGCTTTACAAATACTTAATATTTTATACAAACTGGAAGAATTTAATGTTTTAAAGCCAGGAAACATTTCATCGCAATATTGATAATACTGTTGAATAATACGAGTTGGAATTACGTTACGTATTGTTTCAGGTACATATAATTCTGAGCCATTGGATAACTTTAACATCCTTTCACCAAATGGCATATCACTGCAAATGTGAGGACTGATGATGAAATCAACAAAGTGATTTATTTGCTCAGGTTCAAATTTTTGTATTGTTGTGGATGTATATTATACG